TAGGTATTCATAGAGGTAGATGTTGTCTTTTGCATTAAACCGGCTTCTTTTGCACTTTTATCCATTAGTTGACCTCTTTTATCAGTGACCTTGTTGCGCAGGCTTGCGCAAGAGTAGACAACGGCAGGGTAGCGTTCTCACCAAATAGTGTTGCGGTCTAGAAATTTTTCTCAACGATCATAGATCAAACGGGAGGCTTTTTGTTGCCGTTGTTTTCGTTTAACACCTTGAAAACTTCAGCTAATATTACAATGATTGACATTTTTTTGGTGTATTTGTTAATTCTCTTAATGTTTTTGCGTTATGGAGTTGTTCGCAGTCCATTAAATTTCGCTTAGTCATTTTCATTTAATTGAGCCATATTTGGGTGCTCATTATTGAGTATTTTCATTTTTATTATTTCTCCAACCTAACTCCGATTCTGTCTTTTCTACAATACGTACTTTCTTCCCTCTGCCCTCCTTGTTCTTGTCATTTGCCAACTCCATTCCTATTGCCGAAATCAACTCCTATCTTTTTAAAATACTGGGGGATTTTAGTAAACAACAGCGATCATGTCATTGTCAGAGGCCACATTTAGTGAATGCATGAGCTGTGCTTGCACTCAAAGTGCTTTCTGCTAAATTAACGTGAAACGAGTGGTGCGTCTACCTGAATTCCTTTGCACACCTAAACTCAGTAAGCTTACTCCTATCGGTGTGACATTCCCACTATGGATGTGTTTACTAATGAGTTTTTGGAGTTCATCTTAACTTCCCACCCCTTTAAGTCTTAATTAGATCTCTTAATTGGATGAGGTAATGAACCGTTTAGAAGTGTTTACTGGATTTCTGTTATAACTTCTATCATTTTAGGGCAAACGGGACACGTTGTCTTGTTCACTGCAAGATGGGTATCAGTCGGTCTGGCTCAACGGTAAGCTACTTCAGTCATGTTAGTTATGGGCTGAAGTATAGGCCTGGCGGTTTGGAACTCAGATTATCGCCACAGATTGCACAGAGAAATTTTCTTTTATCGAGAAAGTGTACCATCAACTTTATGCCTCAATCCCATATTAAGCGGTGCCAGTCATGCCTTGGTTGATTTATTTGGTGTCATTCAATACGAATGTATGAGATGAAACTGCGAGCTTCCAAATGAATTCATTTCAAACTCCTACGTTCATCATCCCCTTTGCACAATGCTGGAAAGTGAAGACGTGAACTTTTGCAACAGCTAGGTGATTGATTATCAAAAAGCTCATTTATTCGGCAGAATGAAGCTACCAACGGGAATGCACTCACATTATAGCTTTCCTTTAAGAAATCGCCTTCAGAATGAACGACACCGTCATATTTATTTGCGCTCCATTGGCGTCCGGAACAACAGGTCCCTTTGATAGCAATCAGATCACGCACATAGACTCGGACACTGTTGAATTTGGACTGATTGGGACCTTGTTTGTTAAGGTTGTGGCCTATGCGATGAAGGAGAAGGGCTGGAAGTTGAATGACGCTTTGGAGTTTGTCAAAGGCAAGCGTCCTTGCGTTAATCCAAACGCAAACTTTTTACGACAGTTGGAAACCTACCAAGGTATCCTGGAGGCTAGGTACGTCCGATCTGCTGTTTTACTTCAACTATGGCTCCTTGCTCTTGCTTTCTCTTCCCTCACATCGGCGCTTATGTATTTCTTGTATTTATGTCGATACACTAAAGACACATCCACCATCCCTCATGAGGTCGAATCGTTAGTGTCTTTTATCATGTTCTTCGGTTTTTTGTACCATCTCGCACCTGTTGGCAAATGTTTTGTTACCATGACAATCGTTTTTCTGTCATCTGATCTGAGGTAGCATTGTTCTCTTGCTCTCAGCAAATAGGGTGCTATTAATTATGTGTAGTTCCAAAATCAACAACAATCATACGAATGCATGCATACGCATAATTGGACCGGGTTTATTTGATGCTTTCGCTATTTCATGGTTTTAGTGCTCATCGCCATAGTGCCATCTTCCAACAAAATAGCAGACCGACCGAGATGACAGGAATGGTTCGGCAACGTATGGAGAGTTCGGGAGCGACGATTGCGTTGATGAAGGGAGGAGGAGAAGATGTGGACACTTTTGAACCCCCTCCAGGACCCTCTGGTCCTGTCGACTTAGAGGCTGAGCTCTTTGCCTTCAAGTCATTCCCTCAGCTTCCTCGGATCCAGGAGGAACTGACCGAAGTCCCTCGTGAGTTGTCTTTATCTCTAGTCATTTTACTTTGTCAGATTAGGCTCTTTAACCGATATATTTTTGGACTTTTTGTATATTGGCAACATAGTGAAGGTGAGATCATTGTATTCGATTTTATTTCGCCTTTCTGAACTAACACTGAGGACAAGCAGCAGATCCATCTATTTTACTACTAGCATCTTTTTATTTTGAGGTGTTCTGGCACATTGATTACTAACGTACAAATTAATTTACATTTGGTATAAAGAAACATTGGCCACCGCATCTTAGACATTTTGTTGTTCTCAGTTGGCAAACTAGGTAGTGTTTCTCAGCTTTGATGTGGCTAACTACAGTAAGTTTATCCGAAATGCAACACTTGACGTTGGTAACAAATTGAGAATAAGATCATTTTTTTGTCTGTCATACTATTCAAAGTACCATCTTCACTTAGAGGGTTCGTCAGATTGTTGCCATAGCTGGGGGGAGATATGTAGGGCAAACGGATGAGTGCTCTACTTCTTTCAAGAACAATCCCCCGAATTGGCGGATGGTCCAACTGGCATACGACGTAGAGTGTTGGCCACAACCTCTCAACGCATCCGACATTGGCACCCTGATGTGTACGAGGACGTAGGGAGTGGAGGCGTTGTGATCTCCCGTTCTAAATCCTCACCTACTCGTATCTTCCAGCGGCGTCAACCATCTTCCTCCACAACGCCTTACTTTACCGTTCCTCTTGCCTCCCCACCAAGGTCTCCACTGAACTCCACCGTTACAGTTCCAAACGTCTCTTCCTCTCCCCCTGATAGTGAGGCTGATGTTGCGGCGAGCATAAATGGCGTCCTTGTGTCTCCTCCTTCCTCTTCATCCTCTGATGAAACTACATCCTCCGTCAGCGAGCATGACATCTTGATGACTCCTTCTTCCTCTCGCTTGCAAATCTGTAAGCAAGGCTTGCTTAACATTTTGTGCCTTCGTTTTCTAAAACTATCAGCTAATGAGCTTAACTTAACCATGCCTAGCTGTGTTGCCCGATCCTTAAGTTTTGTTTTCATGGAAGGAGTCGACTTAGGAGAATCCATTTAATCCTACTTGGTGCTTACTGTATTTATTTTTCGTAATTAGCCAGCAGGGATTTGACGAAGGATTCAACACAAAAGGCGCCCTTTGCTTCTTTTGTTACTGCTCCATCGAGCAGTAGCTTTTCGGAGTCTCCAGAACTACGTCTGCCCTCTTCTGTGTCCGCGGTGCACTCCCCAACGGAGTTTTTGCGAACTTCATCCACTGGGCGCCTCACTCTCTCTCTATTTACTATGGCTCCTGATGAAGAACAGATTCAAAGACCAGTACGAACCCTTTCGCTCCGACTCAGACCTGATGATAGTTGGATTGTGAAGCATCAGATTAGTGAAGAGGGCGACAAGGTATCAAGGCGAATCTCGGATAGCCGACCCTTCTCTGAGATAACTCTTGCTACTACTAGTTCTCTGACTCCACCCGCGGAAGAAGAGGCTGCGGTAGAGGGTGAACCAGGACTGGAAGTTGTGCCCAACAAAGCATGTTCGACGCTTAATTTGCAGAACGCAATGCCAGCTGTTATTGCGGCATCGCAGCCCTAAAGTTAGGCTCACATGCATCGTAATTTTATTTCAAATCCGACGCACCTTTGTAAAGAATCCCAACGAACTTCAAATACTATCCCTTATAATTATTATTTACTCAATTCCTGTTCAGTTTATTTCAAAGTCTTTCCTGGAAACGGGCTTTTAAACACACCGTTTCTCTATTTCCCAGTGGGAATCTTTGTGTGCCTCTGTGATGACCTCTAGGTGGTCTTTTCAATGAACGTAACTTGCTGATTCGCATGATGACCGCTCTACTTGTGTTGCAATAAATTTTGATGTGCAAATGCAATGAAGAGCCCATTGGCGGTTGTTGTTACTCTATGCCGCTGTTGATGTGCCGACATGAGTGGACTATGTTTGTCCCGCGAGTTCTAGGCTGTAAGAAAAAAATATGGGGTAGACTAGTTGAGAAGTGGTGTGGGTGCTTGTGGTTTAGAATGTAGTATTCAGTTAACATGTGGTAGATAGTGTTCGGCCATACAAGCTCAAAATGGATTCAATAATCATGTCAAATGACGATACGAATATTGAGACTTGCTGAAAACTTACTTCCTAAGGTCCAAAGCAAACTTTTCTGCTAAAACGGGGAACCATTACATGGACGCATATTTTATATGAGGAGGCGCATAAAAGAAAATTCGGTTAAGGGAAAGTGCTATGATGATAGCAGGCATTATGCAACCAACTTTATGTTAAATTATTTAAGAAAACGTTTGCAATCGTTAATAAGATTTCTTTAATCCGTTACGACCCGAATGGCTAAAGACCACTCATTAAAATGTGCATCTAAAATGGCAGACAAAAATAAATAAATTAAAGCTGTATATTTTTGACAAAAAATATTGTTAATATATAAGAAGACCCCAAAGTATCCGAACAACGCGCAGCTTGTTCAGCTGAGCTGTTGAAATTGCATTCACTGTCTTGCCTATTTCTCCGTCTCGTATGGAGTATTTTCAAAAGTTTCTGGATGGTAGGCAGTTGTCGGTATTTGCGGGTTATCGCTAGTGCTCAATGTAACTCAGGAAGTAGATGGAATCCCATGTGATTCTGCATCTTCTGATTCGAAATATTGGTGACTTCTGGACCTTTTCCAGGTCACTCATGTATCTCTTTACGCTTGAATCTTCAAATGTGGTGTTCTGCTTGTTTTTAAGTAGTTAACTTGATAAGTCTCATGCAGACAAGCTCTGAATTTGCCTGTTCTCTCCTTGATATGGAGTTGTGTTCGCGCTGTGTTTGGGTTGTTCCCGTTCGCTCTTATTGATCGTTGAAGGCGTGATTCCAAGTTTCTGAACTGGAATCTGGGTCGGAATTCACTTAGGAATTCGAGCCAGCTGTTTTTAGCTCACTAATGTATGTGTCTTATCTTGTTTTAGAATTAGAGCAGGCGCCACCTTACCTCCAACAGGAGTTCAAGATCATAAGGGATCTTGACCAAAAAGTTCAGGATATTACAAGTGAAGCGCAGACGAAAACAGACGAACTTTTGCGCATTGCAAAAGATCTACCCAGAGAAGAACGAGTTAGACGCCTAAATGAGATACAACGCCTTTTTCAGACAGCCGAAGAAATATGTAATGACAAAGTTTCCAGGGCTGAAAGCATATACGAGCTTGTGGATAGACAAATTCAGCGTCTTGATGCCGATATGATTGAGTTTAAAAAATCCTCCGTCCTAAAAGAAATGAAGATGCGAAACAAGACTGGCGTTAGCGTCCCTTCAAGGTTAGCGAGTTCCTACACTGTTCATCACGTTTGGCGCTTCTTAAGCGTAATCTTGAACTTTAGAATGCCTGCTTCGGCAGCTCTTGCTCTAGCTTTGACAAATAACCCTGGTGATGTCCTCGATATGCCAATCGACCCAAATGAACCAACCTACTGCACTTGTAAGCAGGTGTCCTATGGAGAAATGGTTGCTTGCGACAACCGAGATTGCCCCATCGAATGGTTCCATTTCGGTTGTGTTGGTCTTACAGCTAAGCCTCGGGGCCAGTGGTTTTGTCCGCAGTGCTCCGCCCTTCGAAATGACGGCAAATGAATTGCACACTCCTCTTGGATTTGCATATTTTCTTATTTTGTATAATTTTATCTACACGAATAAAATATATCCACTGCTCCTCAGACCACTTTTGCATTGTAGTAGGCTTTAGTAGTTACTCCATTTGTTTTCGAGCTCTTCCTGTTTCTGAAGAAGTCCCGGTCCAAGTCAGCTTTGACGACACCGTTCAAGTCGCCACTACGATTGCGGAACAAAAATCAGTCGGTGGGCTTAAAGGTAACTCCATTTCTCCCCATAGTTGATTCTTTTCGATTTTATTTACAAACTCAACCTATCGGTCAAACTTAATCAACCTCAGTCCACATAAAAACCGGTCAGACGATGCCTGTTTCTCCTTGATGTTGTGACGTACTCATCTACCGATCTACACGATTTATAACCCGCAGGGGTCGTATCTATGTAGGGATACTTTGCTCCATTTTGCAATAGGAACTCACGACAACGCGTCGGAACCAATAGCTGCTTTTGCTTCACAAAGTGATGTTGCTTCGTCCACGTGCCTGTATCTCCTTTGCCAAAAACATGAAGGCGCGTGTTGGTAATCTGGACCGACGCGCATAATTTTGACGAACGCTCAGAATATACATCTGCGTTTCTTAAATATTAAACCGCCACGTTAGTAATTGAGGTATCGCTCATTATGTGAATGCACCACCTTTGCCTTCAGATAGAGCAGCGCGCAGGGTATGTAGTCACCAGGAAGCCAATACCTTTACTTCACGTCGATTGTAAATTAACAGGAAAAAGAGGACGAGCTGGACAAGTCGATTGAGATGCTGCGGAGGAGGATATGTGAGGTGCGAGGCCTCGAAAACTTCACTGTAGACGACGCAGAGAGCGAGCTGAAGATGTGGCGTGAGCTCCTGCATCAGTACAACGATGCCAAAGACGTTTGTCTCTACATCTTTGGCCAGCTTGCCCATCTCAAAATGACAACAA